TGATTTCCTTTGCAGTAAAGCAGGGCTCAGGTGCAGGATCAGTGAGACGCTCATGAAGGAGTTAAACACGTTTCCGGTCTCCGAGGTTAAGAGTGACGCAGTTGTTTACATGCAGAGATTTTCACCAATCAGACCGAATTCATCCCCCTCATAGATGAACCCTGAGCTGTTTATATCCATCCTACTCAGCAATCTGATGGAAATCTCTATTCACATGCAAACTACAAGTAATCAGGTCCATAATTAAAAGCATGCGTAGAGAACCGCTTAGTTTAGACGTTACCATGACAACGAGCATCACGTGAGTCCAGTCAGAGTGAGACGAGCGGCAGTGTGTTACCTGAGTTTCCAGTTGGCCTTTTTAATTTGCTCTACAGTTTCTCTAAACTCACTGCTGTTCATTTGCTCTTATACTCACCTGAACAACTCGTTATTGGGAACTTTACAGCCGTCCATCCTGATAACTGTTTCAAATTTTCGTCCTCTGCAGATGAGTTTCTGTCTCCCGTCATGTGGAATGCCTTGAACTTCCGTGACGGCATGAAAGCACATGTGCAGAATATACTTAAACTTTCCCAATGAGAATGTAATCAGATACAGGTGTTTACACAGCTGTTATTCTTCTATATAATGGATTATTTACAGGATTACCCACCTAATTCAGTCAGAATAGCCTCAATCAGCTCTATAGTCTGTTGAGGTGTTTACATGGACATATTCTATTCTGATTGAGCTGTTAGTCGGATTATTAACGGATTATCAGGCTGCATGTAAATGAGGCTAGTGTGTAACACTAAGAACTGTCACTCCCGAAACACAACTTTTGTTGTGTTTTAATAAAAATATGATGATTTAAGTGTGTACAGCTATTCAAAGCTGTGCTTTCTACTCATGTACTGGCTAGCATTTTTGAGTTTCGCTCAAAATGAGCTAAAATTATCACCACCGAAACATATTTTCTGCAGTTAAGCAAACTTTTTTTTTCTGCTTTAATGAAAAATATTATGATTTTGTGTCTATACAGCTGTTCAAAGCTGTGTTTGCTAGTCATGTACTGGCTAACATTTTTGAGTCACTACTGGAACAGTCACTGCTGAAACATTTGGTAAAGTTTCAGTAGTGCTATGATTGTTTTGGTAGTGACAAAATGAAATATTTAGTCATTTGTTTTAATAAAATAAACATAATTAAGTTAAGTTACAAGTCTCAAATGTGACTTTGAACCAGTTCAGCAAAAAAATACATATGGGTACTTACGTGTGTGTGTGTGTGTGTGTGTGTGTGTGTGTGTACACTCTTAAAGGTTCTTCAAGGGTTCTTTGGTAAAAACAGGGGTTTTATAGAACCGTGCACCCTCAAAGGACCATTTGCATGCTTAAATGGTTCTTCGCATGGTTCTTCAGATTGATGGAGAATGTGTTGTATATGGTTTATAGAACCTTTTTTGAAAATATAAGTGCCCATTTTGGTGCTACATTTTCAAAAGGTTCTATGTAGAACCATTGTTTTTACTATAGAACCCTTGAAATACCATCTTTTCTAAGAGTGAAATATGTTTTATTATATATTTTGTTTTTCTTATTTGTAATAATGTACTGTATTATCTTTTGTGCTTTTTTCTGTAAATTCTACTGTAATATTTTACCGTAAAGTTAAAAACGTGCTCATGGTAGAGTCAGAGTGGCAGGAAAACAAGATCACAGAGACAAAGAGCAAAGACAGGAGTGAGGGAGAGAGTGAGGGGAAGAATAAAGGACAGGTAAAAATAGCAGGTGGAGGGATTTGATGGGCTGTATGTGTGAGTGAGTGAATAATGCAGATATCTTCTCTAGTAAAGACTCTTACGCAGTTAAACAAACACCTGTTATTGAAATCTGTGTTCATGCACATTTATGAGGTGCCATATGTTCCCTCAGAACATGCGATGTGTTTGTTTGTTTGTTTGTTTATGAAGTTTAAGAGCGCTCTCTCTGTCTGCTGTGTCCGTTTGTACTGCCAGTCTGTGTCTCCAGGTTTCAGAATAAAGAAGAACCTGCAGTGAATGAAACACTGTGGAGTTGTTGGCGTGCACTGACTCTGGGTGTGAATCTCTGTGAATGATTCAGTGTATCATGAAAAAAGATTCTCAGTGACTAAGTTTGATTTTAGTGTTTTGGCGTGATTCAGATCGCTGAATATACATACATATGGCTGGAAGAACCGTTTACAGACTATTTATGTTCATTAATTAGTAAATCAGTACAGTTTAGTTGCCACTTTCAGATTTTTAGACCTCTAAAGCATTTTTATACCCCTAACAATGATGCGCTCTCTCTCTCTCTCTCTCTCTCTCTCTCTCTCTCTGTCTCTCTGTCTCTGTCTCTCTCTCTCTCTCTCTCTCTGTCTCTCTCTCTGTTATAGTGAATAAACATAAGCCGTGGATTGAGACGTCGTATCGGGGGCTGATCACGGAGAACACAGACGAGGTTCTGCTGGATCCTCCATTAGTGGCCCTGGATAAAGATGCACCTGTACCATACGCAGGTGAGAGAGAGAGAGTGAGAGAGAGAGTGAGAGAAAGAAAAAGAGAGAGAGAGAAAGAGAGAGAGAGTTGTTATTGTTTCTTCCTGTTATTAGCAACATTATACTTTGTACCGTAATATTACTAAAGCTACCTTTAACTTCAATTTCAAAGAGAGAAAGAGAGAGAGTAAAAACAAAGAAAGAAAGAAAGAAATAACAAAAGAGATAGACAGAAAAAAGACAAATACAGAAGAAAGAGTAACAGAAAAAGAGAGACAAAACACAACACAGAAAGAAAAAGAATGAATAACGAAAGAAAGAAAGAAAGAAAGAAAGAAAGAAAGAAAGAAATAATTTAGCAAGAGCGAGACAGAAAGATATGAAGAGACAATATACACAGAAAGAGAGAGAAAGAACACAGCAGAGAAAGAGAAAGAACAAAAACCAAAGAGAAAAAGAAATAGATAGATAGATAGATAGATAGATAGATAGATAGATAGATAGATAGATAGATAGATAGATAGATAGAGGGGCATCTGTGTGGTATCAATATCTCTGTGGTGAAAAAAACTTCGGCCAAATTTCTGCTGCCAGTTAACCCCCCTTTAACTCCCCCCCACCACACACACCCCCCTGTCCCCTGAGGCAGCGTGAGTGCGTGTGTGTGTGTCAGGGAGTGTCTTTTCTCCAGCTGCCGTTGTCGATGGCTAGATGTTTTGTTTGTGTCCAGATTTTCTCCTCTGGGTTGCCAGATCCTCTCTGTGTCCAGATCCCACAAGGCTTCAGTTCAGTTCTCACTCTCTGTTCTTGATGTTTGTCCATATCGCCTCACACCTAACACACACACACACACACACACACACACACACACACACAGCCAAGAAAACAAACTGAACATCACGGCCAGGCCTGCCTGAGGCACAAACACTGTGCATGTGTGCGCGTGTGTGTGCGTCTGTAGAGATGATAAAGTTTATATTCACTTTTTTTAGACCAACATTTTCTTTCTTTTCTTGATATATATATATATATATATATATATATATATATATATATATATATTCCCCTTGACCTTTTGAACCCTAGACTTACTATTGTTTTTATTCTTAAAACATGATAATGATGTTAAATATAAATTTTAAAAAGGAACAATAAAGCAAGTGATAAATGTAGTTATGAGAGTGAGAAATTTAATTGTGGGCCTAAATACAGGACCAATAGGGTTTTAACTTTAAACGCTCTTCATACTCACACACACACACACACACACACACACACACACACACACACACAACTACGCACACATTCTTGTTTGTAAACAAGCTCTTCCTCCTGCCCACTCACTTTATTTCCACTGGCATCCATTCAGTGTTTCAGCCATTAATCATCATGGAGATAAAACACCAGGCTACACAAACTGACCTTCCATCATCTGCACTATTGGAACAGTTTGGCTGCACTGCTTCAAGCACACAGCGATAAAAATACCCATAATAAAAGTAATGAAAGTGCCCAGTGGCTCAAAACATTAAACATAAAACCTACACAATGTGCGTAGTGAGGAAATGGTTTAAATAAAAAGTCATCAAAATATTCAGCTGCAAAATGCAATATAAATATGCAGTAATAATAATACTGACAGTAATAAATACTACATGCAAGTAGTGATAACAATACTGATGGTAAAGGTATTCAAAGTATGCTGTAGTAAACATGCTCATACTAAAAACTATTTGAAAATGCAGTAAAACAAATGCTTACAATACTAAAATACTCAAAGTATACAGTAATAAAAATAAAACTCAACTCAATCAAAGTAAAAATGACTCAAAATACACAGTGGCAAAAATGCTCACAATAAAAACTACACAAAAGACGCAGCGATATTACGGACCCCTGCTGGTGATATCTCATATAAATAAAAATAATGCATCACCACTCCATATTAACACAAGATCCTAATGCGTGGCCATGACTTATTAAAGCGTGGGAATGAGATAATTAAGTTGTGGCCACGCACTATGATCTTGTTCCCACACCTTACTAAGTTTTAGCCTCACATTATTGTTATTTATGTCACCAGCAGGGCTCCGTATGATATAAATGCTCAACAACTCTAAATAAAATCGGGCCAATAGAAATACACCATGTACACAAAAGTATTGGGACACCTCTCCTAATTATTGAGTTCAGGTGTTTCATCCACACCCATTGCTAACAGGTGGATAAAATTAAGCACACAGCCTTGCAGTCTCGATAGACAAACACCGGCAGTAGAATGGGTCGCACTGATGAGCTCAGTGACTCTAAATATCACACTGTCATAGGATACCTCCTCTGCCACAAGTCAGTTTGTGAGGTTTCTGTCCTGCTAGATCTGCCCCAGCCAACTGTAAGTGCTATTATTGTAATTGGAAGCATCTAGGAGCAACAACGGCTCAGCCATGGAGCAGTAGACCACGCAAACTCACAGAGTGAGGCCTATCTGTCTGTCTGATGGACTAGTCTGGGTTTGGTGAATGCCAGGAGATCGTTACCTGCCTGACTGCACTGTACCAGCTGTAAAGTTTGGTGGAGGAGGGATGATGATATGGGGCTGTTTTTCAGGGGTTGGTCTAGAACCCTTAGTTCCAGTGAAGGGAAATCTTAATGCTTCAGCACCAAGACATTTTGGACAATTCTATGCTTCCAACTTTGTGGGAACAGTTTGGGGAAGAATCTTTTCTGTTCCAGCATGACTGAGCCCCAGTGCACAAAGCAAGGTCCATAAAGGCCTGACTGGGTGAGTTTGGTGTGGAAGACCTTGACTGGCCCTCACAGAGCCCTGACCTCAACCCCATCAACACCTTTGGGATGATCTAGAGCGGAGATTGTGAGCCAGACCCTCTCGTCCAACATCAGTGTCTGAACCTCACAGATGCTCTTCTGGATGAATGGGCAAAAATTCCCACAGTCACTCCAAAATCTTGTAGAAAGCTTCCCAGAAGAGTGGAAACTGTTACAGCTGTAAAGGGGCACCAACTCCATATTAATGCCCATGGATTTAGAATGGAATGTCTCCTGTAGGTGTAATGTGTAGGTGTCCCAGTATTTTTGTCCACATAATGTATCTTGTCACAATAATGTAGATTAAAGTTAAGTTTTTAAAGTTACTATTCAGGAGATGTAAGGTTTTTTTATGTGACAATGTCCTTTCTGTGTGCCCTTATATTCGAGAATTGTTCTTTCGCGGCCAAATCTCTGTTTATGCTGAGTTTGGACCATCATTCCCCTTATCTCTCCTCTTCTCCACTGTCGTTGCGTATTAGCACCAGGCTTAAAGCATGTTAATCTTCTCCTAGGTTTGATAAGGCATAAATGATTAAAATATCAGCAGTGATGGACTCTCAGACGTGCTCCCCCTTTGAAAAATAATGGAGGGAGAGGAGAAGACAGCTTTGCCAAGGGGCGGCTTTTAACGAGCATGTGGATCCGAGTCTTTCTGCATGTATCTGTGTGTGTGTGTGTGTGTGTGTATGTGTGTGTGTGTGTGTGTGCATTTGCCTCTTTATCAATGCAAAATGTCAAGAAAATTTTGACACGGTAGAAAGATTTTGCTGGCGTCCAGAAGAAAAAGTGCTTTTTTTAGGACTTTTTTTATCAGCTAAAACTTATTCACTCATTAATTGTGCTATTATCTATAACTACTGGGTGGGAGGGGGTGGGGGCAAGGACTGGGGGGGCCAGTTCCAACCATTGGTATTAGTGTTTGCTGAAGCCCAGCTGCTCATGTGCTCTGTGCTACTATTATAGAATGTGTGATAGAGCTTTCAAGTAGAGCTTTAAATGGCTTTTAAGGTGGTATCTTCAGCACCTTCACACACACACATATATATATATATATATATATGTGTGTGTGTATATATATATATATATATATATATATATATATATGTAGTATTCAGACCTTAGATATTTACAAGGATTATGGTATAATTATTAATTATTATTGTAATAAGCTACATTTTTTTAAATAATCATAATTTATAGGATAATTTCTTTTTGGAGAAATTGTGAAAATAATACTTTGTGATTTTTTAAATTTCTTCTAAAGTGAAGTTGGAGGATTTAGATTTCGAGATCGTGAGCTTAATTTTTAATTAAAAAATGCTGTCCCACATTTTTGTCACTACTGACACACAGAGAGTATTAGTCTGTAGGCAGAGCCTAATTTTAGCCACGCACTTACATTTTACATGACTATATTATGCACGTTAGATCCTACAGTTTTGAAGTAAATGTGTCCCAAAGTCTGAAAATAAGCATGGAACATTAAGTCACTATTGCAACACACATTTTCTGCAATTAAGTGAACTTTTTTGTGTTTTAATGAAAAATGTTATGATTTTTTTGTATGTGCGGCTGTTCAAAGCTGTGTTTTCTAGTCATGTAATAGCTAGTGTTTTTTTTTTATTGAATATTATTGTAAACAAGTGATTGTAGGCCTCTCTTTCAAATAAAGCTACAATTGTCACTACCACATTGAAACAGTGACCACTGAAACGTTGGTAAAGTTTCAGTAGTGTTATGATTGTTTTGGTAGTGACAAAATTGAATGGTCGTTCATTTGTATTAATAAAATAAACATAAGGTATAGGGTCACTCAGAGCAAAGAAATTTTAGTCTGAAATGTGTTTTGACTTTGAACCAGTTCAGTAGAACCATCCATATATACTCATTGATTGATTGGAACATGCAGACGCTGTTGCTCTCACTGGACGTTGGTGATGAAAATTGGAAACTGCGCTCAGTGTGTGGAAATAACGATATTGGATTACTGAAAGTAATAAATGCATGAAGCTTATTTTGTTTGCCTATATAGTTATAACAAATCACACTGCTTTTTAAATAAACAGTACCTTTCTATGGACTCTAACTTGAGTGGTTACATAATCAATTATGCAGTATTCACAAAAAAGACTGCACACGTTCTCTTCTACAGAAGAGAGATAGAGAGATGTTTGGTATGCATTGAAAGTGTA